TTCAATTCACTGAAATGAAATAGTTATTGATTACTGACCTGTTCCCATTGTCCATCTTTCAGGAGGTCCACTGAACATCCCGGCACCGCAGAGGTCGGAGCTCATCGGTCCAAACGGGGGTAAGCCGTGCGATGGCAGCAATGGTCCTGGCGGGGAACGGAAAACTGGGCCGCACTTCTTCCGTTTTTTCCACTTCGCTCGACGATTTTGAAACCACACCTGCAAACGCACCGATATCTTCAATCCTCATCCTGTCGTCGATGAAAATTCAAATTGTATCCTGACAGCCGTAAAACGTAAGTCTTTTAACACAGTTAATTCTACGATACGTACAATTGAAATTTCCAATGCCTGGACCACGATTATGAATTTACTATTGTATGGTTAAACTTATATCTTCCCCCGTGATATAATTAAATTGGTCTTTCGGGTAACGTGTGTGGCGATTTTTCTCGCGCCGTCGTAATTTTAATTCTGTTAAACATACGACCACCAAATCGAACCAAAATGAAGATTAAGAATCAAAAAACTCGTTAAAGTCGATTATAGTTATAAATTCACAATTACGTTTCGCGACACAATGAAATTGCTGTTCTAAATGGTATGTCCTTTTGGCGGGCGATTCTTTGCTTTCACGAACGTGCGAAAGCAAATTCGAGGCAAGACGTTAAGATGTCCCTGGGCGTTACGACAATATCTTCGACCCCACGGCGAGTAGCTATTAGCCGACGTTATGAGCTGTTGATTCTGGCCACGTAGTGGCCCCCCTAAGCTGCCGGGGTCCCGGGGACTTGATTTATTGATATCGCATGCAAAGCCCACCCCTGTGCTCTCCGATATACCCTCGTCCTACATCCCCACTAGCCACCCTCCGCCCTGTTCCACGGACTACAGTCCCTTTCGTACCTTTGGCACGGTAAAGCGCGCTATAGCCATCTCATATGTGCCCATAAATTAGTACTTTAGCATTAGAGCACGATGCGCGCTTGCGCCTCCGACGCACACGTAGCAACGCGTTACCTGCGGGAGCAACCGAGGCTGCTTCCGGGGACAACAGAGAACGAAACAGCCAGCCAGCCCGAGGGGTGGAGACACCCTCTGCTAACATGTAGGGATTATACGAATCTAATTGGATATATGGGATTTACACGCTCCAGTGTACTCCAGGTATTGCCAGAAAGCGATCGTCGGATTTCTCCAACGAAGGCGGTTTATTATGAGCCGCTAAGTTTCACGACAGAATGAAAACTAGTCTTGGTATCGTGTTATCCCTGTGTTACGCTCTTGCGTGAACTTTGCGAGACGCTGGTTCTATCGGGAAGTCGAGATAAGTAGGAATACGAAGTTCCGAAGTTCCGATTTACCCAGAGGGTCGTAGATCGTATGGAAATATTTTTGCTAGAATGTGATTCGCTTCGTGATGTTTTCTCGCGATATTTTCGGATGTTGGTGATATATATATATA